TCCTTTGGTTCATTTATTCATTCTGTCAACATCTACCGAATACCTCTTATGTGCCATTTAGGGGATACAGGAAAAAAGACCCAGTCCTTGCTCTCAAGTTGTTTTCAGGCTGAAATACCTACCAGGCAGCATGGAAACCAACCTGGGACACGGGGTTGGAGGCCCAATCTGAACCTTGCTGGGTGAGACTGAAGATTCTTCATGCATTGACTGATTCAACAAATATATACCGAACACACACAACGTGCTAGACTCTGATCTGGTCTCTGAGGACTCAGTCATGAAGGAAGCCACCAAGTTCACTGCTCTCACACATTCCAGGTGTGGCAGGGCAGGGGACCCAGGAGAAGGCAGGGGATGCAGAGGAGACAGATTAGCAACAAGTCAGCCAATGCGCAACCCATTTATTCCATGGGTTTTATAGAGTATCTCATATGTGTTGTGCAGGGTGTTAGGTGCTAGGGTTGTAAAGACAAATGACACACAGTCCCTCGGGGGGGACACACAATGTCCCCGAGGGCATTTCTGCCAGAGGGAGGAGCCTGTCCATAGGCAGAGAGCAAATGATGGGGCTGCTTGGGGGAGATCAAGCCATTCAGTAGAGCTGCGGCATAGGGCGTGGTGGTTGAGGAGGCTCCTTCTTTTAATTATGGAACTCATCCCTTGGGCAATCTGGGGCAAGGAGTCCTTCCTGGAAATTTCATATAAACCCTCTTGAAGTATCTATTGGGGTAGACATTTAGGAACAAACTGTAAGTATTAGATGTGTATAAAAGAGCATCATTCAGCCTAAGGTGTGGCTCTGCTTGCCTGAAATACACATGAAGAATAAGAGTTTCTAACACTCCAGATTCAGTTCCTTCCACCCTCCCGCCCTTCCTCCCTTCCTTCCTTCCTACCTGGCCCCATTCCCAGAAACTGGTGCAAATAAAAACAAGTGTAGGACCAGAAAATGTCAAAATGAATATAACTAGGATCTGCCCTCTGAGGTGTGGCAGGAAATAATATTGCTTAATGTTTGCAAAATGTCAGGACGTTCTTGAATAAAAGGCCCTATATAAGTTCAAAGTCTTTATAATTATTTGATGATTACTATAATTTATGATTAATTTATAATTACTATAATTTATAATTACTATAATTTAACTATAATTTATAATTACTATAATTGATGATTACTTACTAAAGTAAGACAGTCATAAATCTCTTAGTAAGAGGGTGAAGTCAACACTTTTCGAAAGAGGCAGCAGGCCAGGGACTCTATATAAGGGGTGATGGGCTGATGGTCTCTAAGGACAAGAGCTCACTGAAAACAGGTGAGAGGTGGAACTCTGCTCAGGCCTAGTTAGCATGAAAAATCCAGGATATGGTGATCAACTGATAATGACTGTGTCTCTGCTGCTAAGTAAATAAGAAAAGATGGAGTCAGAGAAAAGTCAAGAACCTTGCAAGGAAAACACAAGTTATAAAAGATTATGTAGATGATAGAATGATTTTTTTTACAATACTTATACATGTTTAGATTTCTTTTAATTTAATTATATAGTTACTTTCAGATTTGTGAGCACGGGCGAAAGAAAGAATGGGAGAACAGAAACGTGCGCATTTAATGGGAACTGTTATAGGCCATATGAGATGTGTTTTTTGTGAATTCAAAGCCAAAGGACAGAGGTGTTTATGTTTTTCCAGATGTAACCTCTCCCCCACCCTCAGGCTCCCTCCTATTTCATTAACCCCACCGACCTTAAGTGACGCCTCTATAACAAACTCCTATCTTCTCTGGAGGCTGTGAAAGATCTAAGGCCAACAAGTCTTACAGCTTAAACTTGGCAGAGTCAAAGGCTAGACAGGCTTCAAGAGTCTTGGATGGAAGAGAGACCATGGTCTCTTAGATTTCATCTTTGTTCAGAACGGGATATTCCTGGGACAGTCCTTCGCACTGGGAGAGGAGCCTTCCTGGAGTTCCCAACTCTGGGAATCCCTGATGGGCAAAGTGAGGAAAGCAGGCACAGAGGCCGAAGGGAGAGAAGGAACTCCTTCCCAGGTTTCTCTCAACCAGGAAAGGATTTGCCTGCAGCGAGTGAAGTGATCGAACCTTCCAGGCTGGCGATCCTTGCTCACAATCCAAATTCAGTAAACATATATTTTCATGGACCATGTGAAAATGTAACTCTGCAAAAAGTGAGTTTAAAAGGAGCCTCTTATATCTGACTCTAGAAAGTTAGATTTTCCTCAAGAAAATGTGGTCCTAGTGGCAGAAACATTTTATACATGTGGCTGCCATCGCTGTTATTTTCATTGAAGGCCTGTTGGTGCACAGCAGTCTGTGGGGCAATGCTAGGGTATGTGTGAGGAGGGAGAGCATGAGGGGTTATGGCTAAGATGTGATGCTACTGGAAAGGCCTTTCAGTCCATAGGGAGCAAGCAAGAAAGCTGAGTTAGCAATAAAACCAGGGTCGGGGTGACAGTACAACGTGGAGCAGAGGAGACCTGCCTGGTGTGTGTGTAGAGAGCAGTTCTCAATCCTTCCAGGACCAAGTGGGGTGGGGCACGATGGGGCAGGGCCACCTCCATCTCCCAGCACCTTAGGATGTTAACAGGGCACCTTTTTCAGGCTGGTTGGAGGACCTTAAGGACATGGGATGCCTATGGTTCAAGGTTTGTGGGGAAAATCTGGGAGAACATTCATGGAAAAGGAATGGGGGCTCTCTTGTGAGAGAACTACAAAGACCAAAGACCTTTATTTCCATCTTTTCCGGAAACATTGTTTAACTGAGGAGGAAATGGTCCATGACACCTTACAAATCTAAACACTGCTTTGAGAATTACAAAGTGCTCAGTGGAAGAAGGGTGAGTGGAGGCCACCAGGAACCTGAACTGGCCCCAAATGGTGTTCAGGTTGTCATTTTCCAGCATGCCCTCCACCTTGACACCCCCATGCTGTCTGTCACAGTTTTAGGGATGCTGTGCTTGGTATCATGAACACAGTGCTGGACTGACCTGACGTTTTGATAATGGTTCCAAGTGTCTGGAGCCACAGGGGTTTGACTGGATCGGTCCTGGGTGACCGATGGAGTCTCCCCACACGCACTCCAGTGACGCCTCAACACTCCCTTCTGAACATAGACTCCTTTTTGGCACCTAGCAAGTTGGGTCACAGAGTTTGGGTTCCTTCAACACATGCTGTGTCGATGTCTTATTGTCACTTCTTGCTCCTTCCTGATGTAATTGAAAAAACAAAAACAACGTGACTCTGTGTTCCTAAGTCATTGGCACATGTATTTACACAGACTCTTTTCATTCAAGTGCTTACGCAACACGGAAAATGAAACGAGCTTTCATGTTGCGATAAAAGCTAAGTTTTTCCACTTGTGTTTCCAAGAAGTATTTTTTTCCCCTGGAAAAGCAGTACAGAGAGTAAAATGCTCTGGGTTTTGCAAGCAGTCCTTTTTTCTGATGGGTCCTTTCCATAAAGCCAGTGAGAAGCCTCTGTAAATATACACTTTCATGAAACTATGAGCTTTTCCTGTACCTACATGGCTCTTTCTCTGCTCTTTTTCCTGGGACGGAGTGTCCTCTCTCATTCAGTGCTGGGGGCTCAGTGGGTGATTCCTGTTAGGTGATTGAATCTGAGAGTTCCTGTAAACACAGCTAAAATTCAAAGTTCCTGTATCTTTCTGGTGTTCTGGACTGGGCACGACATTTTCTACTCAACTAAGGGAAATCAGACAGACCATCTCAATGTTGTAGGGAAGAAAAACAAAAAGCGTGGCTCTTTGTTAATTCAAATGACTTCCTTAATACCTCTTCCTCATCTTGACATATTCTCTTCCTGGGTGTTTGGAAGGAACCACTCACAATACTAACCTTCAAACAAAAGAGATGAGAAAAGCATTATGAAAGTGCTAAGTACATATTTATATACACACCCCGCTTGTAATGATAGTAATAACTCAAAAGGATCGTAGCCAAGCTCAGCTGACCAAGGGAGATGATGGGAGCAGCCAGCAGTAGAAGGGGCTCGTGGAAGGTGGAGGCCTTGGGGGCAGGTGGCTGGCCCCTCAGGCATCCCCTGGGGTCAGCGGCAAGCTATTCTGGGTGGCATTTGTATATTCATTTGGTAGCTAGTGGGGGAACCAGGGCTCTTTGTACACGAGGAAGGTGATTAGAGGAATGGCTGGGATGAGAAAGTATTTGAGAGCAAGTGCTTGATGGTGACCAGCTGTCTGATCTCTTGTCTGCTGACCCCCTTATGAGGTCAATCCTGGACCCCTATCATGACCTGACTTCATGAGGATTTGACTTTGCTGGTGGAAATAGCCTGTTTATTGGTCTCCCCAGGCTCTGGCCCAGGTTTGTTCCTGCCTAGGAGTCCTGCAGAGGGAGAACGGGAAACATGGCTCAAGGAGACCAAAGGGGTCTGAGATTCCCAGGCTGGGGGCTTAGAGCAGTGGGGAATGTCTTCCAGCTCCTTCCTCTAACCAAAGCAAAGATGGCAAGGCACCAAGGAAAGCGTAACCTTGCCTCTTAACTGAAGGAAAAAGAACCCAAAGTAAGAGAAGCACTGATAAGAAATTCTACTGTTGGTATTATCTTTTGATAATGAAGAGGCTATTGGGATAAGGCACATGCATCAGAAATTGGCTTTTCAAGATCTGCGGTCAGATCACCATATTTCTCAGTGCTGAGAATCAAAGTATCTTGAAAGAAGCTGTATTTGGTAACTCGACAGTATGTTGAGTCCCTGTGGGCTGAGCAGGAGTCTCGTCATTTTTAAGCTAATTAAAAGGATGGATGGAGCACATGTCCCGCTCTGGCTTATTTCATTATGATTCAAGTAATTAATTTTCTTAGTTCAGACAGGGGGACACACATTCATTCTTTTCACACTTTTCCATAGAAACACTACATAATGTTATGACAACAACTGATATCGTCACATCTTTGAGCTAATTTCTATTTTAAAATCATTTTAGGATCCGTAGTGCCAAGTCATCAATATGTCTGTGCTGTGGCTATTTCTGGGCCTTCTTGCCTTTACTGGTGAGTGTGTTGCATTTTTCCCAAATGACCTTGGAGATGGGAAAGATAAGCATGGGAACATAGTGGTACTTCTGATACTTAAAACTGCAGTGGAAAAAATAAAATAAAATAAAATAAAATAATAATAATAATAAAAAAAAACTGCAGTGGAAAATGTTCTTTTTCCCCCCAAGCTGTTCAACAAATCCTGGAGTTGCTAACAGCCACTGACAAGCAGCCTCTTGCCAGGTGCCTCACAAAAGGAGGGGGTTCTCCAGAATGTGGGGTGGACTTACAGCAGCATTGCTTGGGCCAGACTTTAAATCCATACCATTGAAAAATGCTCACTGTTCCTCTACAAAAGTTCTTTCACCAGAAGTATTTATTGAATTTATTAACAGACCATATAATTCTACAGAAGCATTGATGTGATTTACCATTGTAAAACTAATGCAATGCAATACAAAACTAGCAACACTGGGATCAAGGAGATGGGACTCAGCTAACCACTGAGGCTGACATCGTTGCCATGCTGGCATTTCAGGTTCGGTCCTAAGGTTCCTTGCAACTGGGGCAAAGAGGAAAAGGCAAGTTTTTTTTTTTTTGGACAAAGAAAAGTAGAAAGCATAGTTCCTCAAGAGAAGCAAATTTTTTCCTGGCTCTGAATTTTAAAAACTTCTCAGATAGGGCCAGCCTTACATTCATTCCTTTCTTTTTGAACCATCCATTCAACAAATATTTTTTTAAATTTTACAAGGAATTTTGGGACTATAAGGAACTTTGGGTGAAGGAGACAAGATGGCAGAGTAGAAAGACATAAGCTCACCTCGTCTTATGGGAACACCAAAATCACAACTAACTGCTGAACAACCATCAACAAAAAAGTGCTAAAGATACCCTACATCCAAAGACAAAGAAGAAGCCACAATGAGACAGTAGCAGGGGTGGAATCATGATAAAATCAAGTCCCATACACTCCAGGTGCGCGACCCACAAACTGGAAAATAATTATACCACAGAAGTTCTCCCACAGGAGTGAAAGTTCTGAGCCTCACATGAGGCTCTCCAGCTTGGGGTCTGGCAATGGGAGGAGGAGCCCCCAGTAACTCTGGCTTTGAAGGCCAACAGGATTTGATCACAGGAATTCCACAAGACTGGGGGAAACAGAAACTCCACTCTTGGAGGGTGCACACATGGCCTTGTGCACACCAGGACCCAGGATAAAAAGCAGTGACCTCATAAGAGACTGGACCAGACTTACTTACTAGTACTGGAGGGTCTCCTGTGGAGGTGTGGCGGGCAGCTCTGGCTCACTGCAGGGACAAGGACACTGGCAGTAGCAGTTCTGGGGAGTACTCATTGGTGTGAGCCCTCTTGGAGGCTGCCATTTTCTCACCAACATCTGGCTCCACTCTACAGCCTGTAGGCTCCAGTGCTGGGATGCTTCAGGCCAAACAACCAACAGGGTGGGAACACAGGCCCACCCAACAGCAAACAGGCTGCTTAAAGTCTTCCTGAACACACAGGTGTCCAATAAACCACACCCCCTGACACATCCCTGCCCGCCAGAGGGACAAGACCAAGCTCCACCCACCAGTGGGCAAGTACCAGTCTCTCCCACCAGGAAGCCTGCACAAGCCTCTTAGACAGCCTCATCCACCGGGGCGCAGAGAGCAGGAGCAAGAAAAGCTGCAACCCTGCAGCCTGTGGAGGAAACTGCAATCACAGAAAGTTAGACAAAATGAGATGGTAGAGGAATATGTTCCAGATGAAGGAACAAGATCAAACCCCAGAAGAACAACGAAGGGAAGTGGAGATAGGCAATCTACCTGAAAAAGAATTCACAGTAGTGGTAATAAAGATGATCCACAATCTTGGAAAAAGAATGGAGGCACAGATCAAGAAGATACAAGAAATGTTTAACAAAGACCTAGCAGAACTAAAGAACAAACAACAGAGATGAACAATACAATAACTGAAATGAAAAATACACTAGAAGGAATCAGTAGCAGAATAACTGAGGCAGAAGAAGAGATAAGTGAGCTGGAAGACAGAATGGTGGAAATCACTGTGGTGGTGGAATAGAATAAAGAAAAAAGAATGAAAAGAAATGAGGACAGTCTAAGAGATCTCTGGGACAACGTCTAATGCGCCAACATTCACATTATAGGGGTCCCAGAAGGAGGAGAGAGAAAGGACTTGAGAAAATATTCGAAGAGATAATAGCTGAAAACTTCCCTAACACAGAAAAGGAAATAGTCACCCAAGTCCAGGAAGCGCAGAGAGTCCCAGGCAAGATAAGCCCAAGGAGGAACGTGCCAGGACACATAGTAATCAAATTGACAAAAATTAAAGACAAAGAAAAAATATTAAAAGCAACAAATAATGTACAAGGGAACTCCCATAAGGTTTTCAGCTGATTTCTCAGCAGAAACTCTGCAGGCCAGAAGGGAGTGGCATGATATATTTAAAGTGATCAAAGGGAAGAACCTACAACCAAGAATACTCTACCCAGCAAGGCTCTCATTTAGATTCAACAGAGAAATCAAAAGCTTTACAGACAAGCAAAAGCTAACAGAATTCAGCACCACCAGACCAGCTTTGCAACAAAGGCTAAAGGAACTTCTCTAGGTGGAAAAGAAAAGGCCACAACTAGAAACCAAGAAATTACAAATGGAAAAGCTCACTGGTAAAGGTAAACATACAGTAAAGGTAGGAAATCATCTGCACACAAATTTGATATCAAAATCAGCAATTGTGAGGAGAGCACAAATGCAGGATATTGGAAATGCATCTGAAATTAAAAGACCAGCAACTTTGGGGCTTCCCTGGTGGCGCAGTGGTTGAGAGTCCGCCTGCCGATGCAGGGGACGCGGGTTCGTGCCCCGGTCCGGGAGGATCCCACGTGCCGCGGAGCGGCTGGGCCCGTGAGCCGTGGCCGCTGAGCCTGTGCATCTGGAGCCTGTGCTCCGCAACGGGAGAGGCCGCAACAGTGAGAGGCCTGCCTACCCCAAAAAAAAAAAAAAAAAAAAAAGACCAGCAACTTAACACAATCTTGCTTACATACAGACTGCTATATCAAATCTTCATGGTAACTGCAAACTGAAAATCTATAATAGATACACACAGAAAAAGAAAAAGGAATCCAAACACAACACTAAAGTTAGTCAATAAATCACAAGAGAACAAAAGAGGAAGGGAAGAAAAAGGACCTACAAAAACAAATCCAAAACAATTAACAAAATGGCAATAAGAACATACATTATCAATAATTACCTTAAACATAAATGGATTAAATGCTCCAACCAAAAGACATAGACTGGGTGAATGGATACAAAAACAAGACCCATATATTTGCTATCTACAAGAGACCCACTTCAGATCTAGGGACACATACAGACTGAAAGTGAGGGGATGGAAAAAGGTATTCCATGCAAATGGAAATCAAAAGAAATCTAGAGTAGCAATACTCATATCAGACAAAATGGAGACTGTTACAAGGGAAAAGAAAAAGAAACTTTGGGGAGCATATAATGTGATTAGGGAGAGACTACAGGGCAAGGAGTAATGAGTGACACAACCAACTACTATTAAGGGTATTTGTCACCAATTATAAAGATAAAAGTACACTGATTAAAAAATAAACAAGGAACTGTTGGCTCCTTTAATTTTTAGTACACTCATAAAAGACCAAGTCATTTCATTTCCTCATTTCTCTGAGATTACTCATCACAAGATTTTAAAATAGAAGTATTTACTCCAAAATACCAGTATTTTCAGATGTCAATCCCATGAAGCTCTTAGTAAGAAAACAGAACTTTATAATGCATTTACATAAACCTACAGTACACAGATGATGATGTGCAACAGATATATTTCCAAAGATCTGCATATCATTAAGATTTGATGATATAATCTAATTTAGTCAAAGATTAAATTAATCAAAAAGAGTAATCTAATGAGAAGTCCTTACAGGCTGATAATAGTGAGATGATTCTGTTAAGGGGCAGCTTCCTGCCCCCTGTAGGTAACTTGTTGCTGGCTTATGTGCCCTCCTTATGGTGTGAATTATAAATTCTAGAGAATGCACTCCCCTTCAGTGACTAGAATGACACTGAAAGTTAGGGAGAGAGATGGAAGGACAAAGAGAGAAAGGGAAGAAGGGGAAAGAGGGAGCCCCGGCATAGAGACCTGGTCCTGGACCTCACGACATATCCTCCCCCCTTTGTTGTCTTAGGCTCCCACCTAGAAGTGCACACAAGAGCAGGGGAAGCCAACTCCAAGTCCCAGTTTACCAGCTGTGCCTTTACTTTGGGTCTGGGTTGAGATCCCAGGGAGGACCAGGCTTCATACTACATGTTTCTCCAGAGCAAACACAAGTATCTCACCAGACCAATGAGTTAGGAGTATTTGAGGGAGAAGTGCCAAGTTCACCTAAGACACAAGATGAGGACTAATTTACAGGGAACACAGAATCTCTGCTTTGATTCTAAGACACCCACCCAACAGCACTGCTCAGCCCCAGAGCTTTGCAAGTAGTATAACTGCTCCAACCGTTCTCGAGTCCATGGAAGAGGAGGTAAGCAGTTAGTATCTGTGATAACTTAGTTGCCATACTGTAAATTTCAGAAGTGTTTCCATGGCAAACTGAGTTCCTGTTGTCATTGATTTTAGTACAGTTATTTTTATTAACCACACTTCATAATGGATAGAAGCAGGATCGGAACTACTAGTTCAGTGTCTTAGGCTGACATTTTCTCCATCTGTAGGCTCATCTGAAAGCAGCAGTTGGGGATGCTGTGGAGACCTCCAGACCCTCTACACCCCTGGGGCGTCTTGCAGGATTGGAAGGCGTCGAGGCCTAAAATACTGTGGTATTGATCATCTCACTGTCCACCTTGCCCCCCTCCTCTTCGTCCTCGTTCTCTCAGAAGGTGACTCCTTTTGGCAAGCGTGGTTTCCACAGGGTTTTGTCCCTTCCCTTGAGATGCCGCTCCAAGCCTCCCTGGCATTCCCCACAGCTTTGAGCCTCTCAGCACATCCTTTAGGTTCCCACTACTTTCCACAGCCCCACGCAGAGGAGTGATGGAGATAGCATGCGACGTGGGGTCCACACAGCTTGTCTGAGTGTTAGCTCTGGGGCTTCAACAAGTCACTCGGGTCTCCTAAGCATCCACTGGAAGGGTGAGAACAGCACTTACTTTACAGTGTTGACAGCTTTGTTTGATGTAAGGTGGATGAGAGTGCTTGTGAAACCAGGAAAGTGGGCTAGCCAAGTAAATTAGTACTGGTATTCACTTTGCCATTTCTCGTTATTTCATAAAAGTTTAAGCTCACATGATTCTGGGTGTCACTTTAGGGCAGATAGGTGGGCAGGATGAGGAAAGCTGCCAGGGAAACTCTCCAAGGACTCCTTGAAGAGGTGGGAGAACTTTTCTCTCATATTCTGTCACATGGTAGCTGACGGACAGGTACATTTTATTGGGTCACTCTGGGATGCTTAGGATGGGGCTGATGGTGTCTGTGCCCATGGAATTTTCCAGGGCGGGCCAGAGCAGCCCCTGAGAGCCCAGATGAGGAGCACAGAGGACACTCCTCGGGGGATGTGGCCACAAGGGATTTCAGACCAAAACTTGGGCTTCTCGGTCCTAGACCACTGACCAAGTCCCTGGAGTATATTTTCTCTCTCTTCCTGAACTCCTGTCTCAGCACGAGTCACACCAAGCCGCCTCCTTCCTTCTGTGTTTGCTGTAAGAGTTCGTGCTTCTGAAAGGCTGGCTGAAAGAGACATGCCATCCCTCCTGTGATATCAACCCATCATGTGTACAGTTGGCCTAAAGTACTGCATGGACCCTGCTGTCATCGCTGGTGTCTTATCCAGGAGTCTCGTGGTGGCAACGTCCTGGTCAATGTGGACAGTATGGGCGATGGAGCCAGGGTGGTGCAGGTAACCTGCCATCAATCATGACGTGTGGCTTGTCATAACCCCAAGGGACTCCTTCACATTCGTTATTGCTGATGGCACCCCTGGAGCACCGCTCCATAGAATACGGAGTAAAAGATGCTCCCTGGAGTCGTGAGAACCACAGCTCCGCCTGGGAGATGTGACAATCAACTTTCCTGCTTTGTTTAGAGCCACAATTTCCTTTCAAAGTAAATTATGCTGTGTTTCCAGGCTGTCAGCAACCAAACCCTATTCTGGATTTCCAGTAAGGTGATAGTGCAGGAGAGAGATCACAGATTGAACCCTTGCTCTGTTATTTTGCAACCATGTGACCTTGGATAAATCATTTACTCTCCCTAGGTCTCAGTTTCCTCATCCATAAAATGCCATCTCAGAGAATTGTTATGAAGATTCAATGAAATAATGTGAAGAACCACTTGGTATCTGGTAGATTCTCAACAAACACTGAATTCCCCTTCCCTTGTCTTATTTCTACACAATTCTTAGTTATGAGGATCAATTTCAGTTTTGCACTAATTCTGCCTGGTATCACTTGCTGCCTGATAGAAACTTCCAGGGAACGGGTCGTTCATTAACCCCACTGCCGAATTAACTCTGTGTTGGCTGAATTGGTGATGCAAGGGACGTAACGAGGACATGTTTTTTCCTATGCATTTCACATTGTTGTCGATGTTGAGAAACCTATAAGTATTGCACTCACACTTTAAGCTTTTAGGAAAATGTACTCCTCAATGATCTTTAAATTGGCTTCCCAAAGTACATGGCGCTTGACAATTTAAAAGTACTTTCAAATACTTTATCTTATTTTGATGTGGGGACCCATCCAATAAACCGATGAGATGAAGTCGGTGGGGGAGGCAAGTCATCTGCCCTTTACAAGTGAGGAAGTGGATTTGCGAGGACAAAGTCATTGCCGCAAAGTCACCCAGCAGCTGGAAAATGCAGTACTGGGACCGAGGACATCATTGGTGATGTCAGGGCAGGCATCGTTTCTCCTGCCCTGTTCTGCTTCCTTTGTAAAGGATGAGTCCATCTCCTTTGAAGATGAAGAAAGAACTCCCCAGAGTCAGACATTTCTCCTACCTATGGTGAAACCCACATGGTGTACAAGAAAGTGTAGAAAAGTTACCTTTAGACGTTCAGATTATCTGAAAGGAGAGTTACAAGTCCAGATAGAAAAACCCCTTTCTGACCTGTTTAGAAGGTTTATGCTTACAGCACTGAAAGATCGGTCCCTACGCTACATCTGTCACCTCTGGTTTCCAACTCTGCCTCTCACCATTACCCTGAAAACAGCTGTGGAATGTCTGCTCGTCCCTTCCTTTGTCTAAACTTGTAGCTTTACTATTTATCCTCAGGGAGATTGAAGGTGGCCATGGTTCTGCCAAAGGGGAGGAGAGAAAAAGGGAAACGAAAAAGTAGCCCTGATCCCAGGAAGCCGCATCACCCTCTGCCTCTCTCCTCGTAGGAACCCTGGCCTTCATGCCCCACCTCCTAGATCAGCAAGGCCCAGGTTTCCCAGATGACTGAGGTCCTGACTGTTAGAATCAAAGAAATCCAGAGGAGGTTTCCAACCTGGACCCCTGACCAGCACCTGAGAGCTTTGTGTAACCCATGGGTTGGTCTCCCAGCATGGAGTTAATAGGTACAAACATAATTCATTGCGCCAGATTCTCCCAAACCTCAGTTGCCTCCTAAAAAGCAACTAGGAAAGAGAATCTGAGTTAACTGCTGAGCACCCTGCCACAGCGAGGGGCTGTGGGCTTGGCATTAACCCATCTCACAAACTCCAGGTGGACTCTGTGACTACACCCGAAGCAGCCAGGACCTGAGCTGACTTCTGCAATGACGTCCTTGCACGAGCCAAATACTTCAGAAGACAGGGCTTCTAACGCTTCAGCTCAGACCCAAGATCATTATCGTGCAGGCAGCTTCAGCTGTTACACAGATAAAAGTAGCCAATGAGGCCAGTAATTCTGAATCTGAGTTTGACGCAAATGTCATCAAAATAACATGAATCACATTAAAGAATTATTATCTACATTTTGTAGTCTGGTGTGTGCAAATAAAAGGCTGTGTCTCTTTAAAGGTATTGCCATGGATGTGAGCTGTAATGTGGACTTCTGGGAAATGGATCCTGTGTCTCATTGGCTTGCATTGTCAGACTTAGCAAATAAAAATATCAGAATCCCAGTTAAATTTGAATTCCAGATAAAAAATGATTTTTTTTTTTTAGTGTAAGTCCCATGCAATATTTAGAACACATTTATACTAAAATAATATATGTTGTCTATTTGAAATTCAAATATAACTGGGCATATGGTTATTTTATGTGGCAGCTCTACCACTGATTTCTTTGATAAAAATCATAGTTTCAAATTTTAATTGAAAACTTTTGATGAGAAAAAGGGTAAGAGGGTAGCCAGTCCCATCTGCTGGGGGGAATAGTTTTGCAAAAGGAGGGAAGGGCACAACCTTTATAAAAATGACATAGCCACCGAGGACACGACAAAAACTGGTCAGAACCAACTAGGTCCAAGATGGCAGAAGGTTCGACTTCCAGCAGACTTTGAGCTTCATTATACGTTCATTGTAATACATTAGCTAAATGACATACCCAGGGGTGCCATGACTGTTCTGAGGCCAACCATAAAAGGCCAAAAAGTGGGCAGTGGCCTAATTCCTGGAAATCTTTGCCTTTTCTCCAAAATAATTGGAATAATCTTCTCACTCATTAGCCTATGAAATTACCCAGCCCATAAAAACTAACCACACCATATTTTGGGGTCTCTCGTCTTCTGAGATGGCCCACACTCCGTGGAGTATGTTTCCCCAGGGCTGCTCTCACTTTCTGAGATGACCCCCATGCCCTGTGGCCACTCTCACCTTTTGAGACGGACCACATTCTGTCTATGGAATGTGTACCTCTCTAAATAAATCTAATTATAACCTATCACTTTGCATCTCACTGAATTCTTTCTTTGATGAGACATAAAGAACCTGAGCTTCATTAAGTCCTGAGACCAGGTGTGTGATCTCTAAAAGACAGTGGGATGGTGAAAAACTGAAAGCATTTCCACTAAGATCAGGAACAAGACAAGGATGTCCACTCGCACCACTCTTATTCAACATAGTTTTGGAAGTCCTAGACAGCAATCAGAGAAGAAAAAGAAATAAAAGGAATACAAATTGGAAAAGAAAAAATAAAACTGTCACTGTTTGCAGATGACATGATACTATACATAGAAAATCCTAAAGATGCCACCAGAAAACTACTAGAACTAATCAATGAATTTGATAAGGTTGCAGGATACAAAATTAATGCACAGAAATCTCTGGCATTCCTATACACTAATGACGAAAAATCTGAAAGAAAAATTAAGGAAACAATTCCATTTACCATCACAACAAAAAGAATAAAATACCTGAGAATAAACCTACCTAAGGAGGTGAAAGACTTGTACTCAGAAAACTATAAGATACTGATGAAAGAAATCAAAGGTGACATAAACAGATGGAGAAATATACCATGTCCTTGGACTGGAAAAATTAATACCATGAAAATGACTATATTACCCAAAGCAATCTACAGATTCAATGCAATCCCTATCAAACTACCAATGGCATTCTTCATGGAATTGTAAAAAAAAATTTTACAATTCGTATGGAAACACAAAAGACCCCAAATAGCCAAAGCAATCTTGAGAAAAATGGAACTGGAGGAATTGGGCTCCCTGACTTCAAACTATACTACAAAGCTACAGTAATCAAGAAAGTATGGTACTGACACAAAAACAGAAATGTAGATCAATGGTACAGGATAGAAAGCCCAGAGATAAACCCATGCACATATGGTCACCTAATTTATGACAAAGGAGGCAAGAACATACAGTGGAGAAAAGACAGCCTCTTCAATAAGTGGTGCTGGGAAAACTGGACAGCTACAGGTAAAAGATTGAAATTAGAACACTCCCTAGCACCATACACAAAAATAAATTCCAAATGGATTAGACCTAAATGTAAGACTAGACACTACAAAACTCTTAGAGGAAAACATAGGAAAAACACTCTTTGACATAAACCACAGCAAGATCTTTTTTGACCCACCTCCTAGAATACTGGAAATGAAAACAAAAATAAACAAGTGGGACCTAATTAAACTTCAGAGCTTTTGCACAGCAAAAGAAACCATAAACAAGATGAAAAGACAGCCCTCGGAATGGGAGAAAATATTTGCAAATGAAACAACAGACAAAGGATTAATTTCCAAAATATACAAACAGCTCATGCAGCTCAGTATCAAAAAAACAAACAATTCAATTAAAAAATGGGTGGAAAACCTAAATAGACATTTCAATAAAGAAGATATACAGATAGCCAAGAGGCACATGAAAAGATGCTCAACATCACTAATTATAAGAGAAATGCAAATCAAGACTACAATGAGGTATCACCTCACACTGGTCAGAATGGCCATTATCAAAAAAATCTAGAAACAATAAATGCTGGAAAGGGCGTGGTGAAAAGGGAACCCTCCTGCACTGTTGGTGGGAATGTAAATTGATATAACCAGTATGGAGAACAGTATGGAGGTTCCTTAAAAAACTAAAAATAGAACTACCATATGACCCAGCAATCCCACTACTGGGCATATACCCTGAGAAAACCATAATTCAAAAAGAGACATGTACCACAATGTTCTTTGCAGCACTGTTTACAACAGCCAGGACATGGAACCAACCTAAATGTCCATGGACAGATGAATGGATAAAGAAGATGTGGCACATATATACAATGGAATATTACTCAGCAATAAAAAGAAATGAAATTGAGTTATTTGTAGCAAGGTGGATGGACCTAGAGACTGTCATACAGAGTGAAGTAAGTCAGAAAGAGAAAAACGTATACCGTATGCTAACACATATATATGGAATCTAAAAAAAAAAAAAAAAAAAAAGGTTCTGATGAACCTAGTGTCAGGGCAGGAATAAAGATGTAGACATAGAGAATGGACTTGAGGACATGGGGGTGGGGGGAAGCTGGGGCGAAATGAGAGTAGCATGAACATATATACACTACCGAATGTAAAATAGTTAGCTAGTGGGAAGCAGCAGCATAGCACAGGGAGATCAGCTCAGTGCTTTGTGATGACCTAGAGGGGTGGGATGGGGAGGGTGGGAGTGAGGCTCAAGAGGGAGGGGATGTGGGGATATATGTATGTATATGGCTGATTCACTTTGTGGTACAACAGAAACTAACACAGTATTGTGAAGCAATTATACTCCAATAAAGATCTATTAAAAATATAATAATAACAATAAAAGCACCATCTATACACCTAAAAAGAAAAGAAAAGAAAAAAAAGACAGTGGGTTTGAGTTTCAATCTGAGTTGTGCGGTTTCAGTTTCAGGAGAGTCACTTTTAAACTTTGCAGCATTATCTTAACCCTAGGTCTCTCTGACATCTAAGTTTACCTTTTCCTCTCCTTCCCTGAACCACAATCTCCTACGTCCAATTTCCCCCAACTCAGCTAAGCTGTCCCCTTCTTTGGGGCACTTAATTAAGACTAATAGAGTCAGGCCACCGGAGAGCGATTCCTCAGTTGGAGCTGCCCTCAAGGATATTGACCACTATACTGACAAATTATTTAATTCTAGGGGTTGTATGCTATAAAAGTAATTAACATCCCATTCTATCAACACTTTACAGAGTGTCATTCTAGAACAACTATCATCATTTCAAGCAAAAACTTGTTTTGGAAATGACTGTCTCACCATATATGAAGCACTATATCAGAGTCTCTGCCCTCAGGAACTGTTAAATCATAAAATTTAGTTGGGAATAGCAGCCAGCCACACATGTGCACAAGGTACAGATGCAGGGTGGACATCGGGTGATTGTGTAAAGTGCTCACCTTCTGTGTTAGGGGCTTGTGGAACCTGCTCATGACCATCAGTGTCCTTGAACTCCTGGGCTGCTTCCTTCTTGTCTCCCCACTGTCTGTCTTCCAAGACCCGCTCTCAAGGCTGAATCCAGTGAAGGGATCCTCACTAAGGACAATATGACTGAGAAGACCTCAGGAATACACCTTTGGAGATTTCCATTTCCCTGGCACAATGGCAATGGACTGGGAGGCACTGGTTATGAGTCCACGTGTGAACCAGTTGGGTAAATAAAGTCCTGCAATCACCAGGGAAGCCTCACACAGCTTCCGTATTTGGATAGGGTAGGGGGTCCCCGGAGGAAAAGAACCAGATTTCACTTTTCTTTTTTTTGACATAAGAGAAACCATTCTGGCCCAAGTCATTTTGTGATCTAAGCCTGGCTGCAGTGCTTGCCCTTGAAAAAGTCATGAAGCCAAGCAGGACCCTGTGGGGCTCCTGGTCATGGAACCCTTTCAAACAGCTGCTAATCAGGGAAGGGAAGGGATGCAGAGACAAGGGAGGAGCAGCCAGGAGACAACAGTGCAGCCTTGCGGCAGAGTCCTGGTTCTGTCTCAAGGGATACACATAACAATATCTTTGAGCTCTCCCGCAGAACTAAAACCCCCCAAAATGGAAAATGCTAACTACTTGATGAAGCATTCTTCAGAGAAGTTCAGGAGACCAACTGAGGCCAGATTAAAGAAACCACAGAAGCTCAACAGGAGAAACTCAACCACAGAAGCTCACCTGAGACCAGATTAAAGGAATACAGGCCCTGCACACATCCTGATCCTTATCAGCAATCCTGCCCTTGAACCATTGCTATAAAACTCCTCACCAAACCCTCCTGGGTTGGGACACACAGTTTCAAGGGCAATAGCCGGTTCTGTTCCCCTTTGCCTGGCAAAGCAATAAAGCTATTGGCGTAGCCTTTGAGGATACGACATAAACTGGTTAGAACCATCTA